TTAAAGAAAATATTTACATTGTATCTATGCTAAGAAAATCAAGGCCCAAGGAAGGCTCTGCAGGGTTCCAAAGAAAGACAACACAAAAAAAACAAAAAAAAAAAAAAAAAACCATGTCTGGAATGGTAGTAAGGGCAGAAAGATTATTATTTCTTCTACGTAATTCTGGATGAAAGACATTGGTAGGATTAATCATGAAAGATGTGAGCCCTGCACAGTTAGGGTGAGGAGCCTCATATTCTACCTGGACATCTGAGTTTTAGGTACAGATAGAAGCGAATGTAGGAAACTATCTTTATTAATAAGTTCGCACCTTGAAAAGATGACTTCTGTGTCCAACTCCGCCCCCCAAATCTCTGCAAACAGATGCATACATTCATATACCTTTTCATTTTCACAACTTTTCTTCCCTGTGTCTCTACAGAATTTCCTGTGTCTTGGAAAGGATTTGCATTTCAATGAATTCTATAAACCCAGTGTTTTTCCCAGAACCTGGAAGAGTCCATTTAGTAAATAACCAGGCTCAGAGAAATTGAGTGGATTGAACAAGGCCATAGGCCCTATAGTGGCAAAACTGAGATCCTGTCTCCTAGGTCAGTGCTTGTTCTAAAATTCTTCTTTCTTCATCTGCTAGATACCATTCCACAGGCTGAAAGAAAATAATTCACTATTTTCATAGCTTAGGTATCCTTTAAAGGGCCACAAAAGGAGAGAGGAAAACTGAATGGGGGAGGCTACTAAGAATTGCATGTCACAGAAAGAAAGAGCTGAAAGGCTTCTTGGAATTTCCCTCCCATTGCTAACACAGGCAGGGTCAATGGGTCTCTAAGCTGCTCCCTTGTTCTCTTTCATTGGCAAGTTATCCTTTAAGGGTTTGTTCCCAAATTTAGTTAGAGAGTGTGGCAAAGCTCAGACTAGGGCTAGGAGCTGCCAGCAGCATTTTCTCTTGCACTGTTTGCTTTTAATGTAGAACAAGTATGGTATGAGTACTCTTTGGCAAGAACAAGGAATATGCTTTGAAATAATGACACCCCCCACTGCCACCTTGGCCTGGCAGCCATTTTGTTCTCAATAAATTTCACTAGGTAATTTGCCTCCACAGAAGGAAAACCATTATTGAAAGTGTAAACATATCCTTTCAGCTGGGGAGTGTGCACATTTGTTACTAGAACTGTCTACTCAACTCTACATTGGGTATTGGAAGACTGAAGGATAAGAAAGGAGACCCAAGAGAAATGAAACATTTAAAGAAACAAGCCAGTACACAGACAGGAAGACAAAATAAAGTCATACGACACAAAAAACATTAGAGGTTCTCTGCAAAAGTTATTCCTCAGAAGGTTTTGAGGCTGTACTGTTAAGGCATGGGCATCTATAATGTAGATGTATCTATTCATTTGTGTCTTCCATGAATTAATAATGTGCTTTTTATTAATCCTAGTTAGCAACTGCCTCAAAATATTACCATTTATCCTCTGGTGACTTTTCTTTTCCCAGTGGCAAAGTACTAGGGCATTTTTATTTTTGTGTGTGTGTGTGCAGTAAGGGATCGCTTGTTTCATGGTTTTTATTTTTTCTAAAGAATTTGGCTACTTGATGTCAACTCTCTTGAGAAGTCCATATCCACACATAGGTATGCCTTATTCTTTTCTTGGGTGTCTCTTTCTGTTAATCTCTGTGCTTCAAATCTATATTAAATATGTCTTTAATAAACTAAAAAAAAAAGAATGATGATTGATAACACACAAATGCAAAGAATCAACCAGGCCATCACTTCTACTGATGGATAGAGGCAGCACATTTTTCACTCTTTCTAAATATAAAACAAACCATCCTTTTCTGGGCCCCTCACAGGTGTAGGTGACGCTTAAATCAAGCCAGCATACTGAAAGTCTATCTAGATGACACCTAACACCTTTCCCAGCAGCCCTAGCCCGGTGACACAAGCTGGACAAGGACCTTAAAAGTTTTCCCCTGGTTGAATTTTGGAAGAACTGTGTAAATAACAGCCCTTGCTGGCCAACAGAAGAAAATGCAAGAGCCATGGCTGACAGAGGTCTGGCTTCTAGCAAAGGTCAGAGAGAACCATGTCTCTAAGTTGTCTTGTTGTCTATGGGAACTGTGGCCAAATCCAAGGAGAAAGCATGGGGAAATCAGCAGGGGGTGGGGAAAGTCTACGTGTTTCTCCTGAGATGTTTATATTGTTCTTAATTAAGGTTAGACCACAAAGGAAGCAGATGCATTTTGGGTATCCAGTTCGGTTTGAACAGGCATTCACAAGACTCAACAGGCATATCTTATGCTTATACTTGTAAACAAGATTTATTGTTAACATCAATGAACACAGAGGGGGGGACACTGATGTACCAAGGACATGTTGTTCACAAGATCACACAATGCTCTTGGGTTGTATTCATCCATGATGTGTTGAATCACATGGAATTTTTTGTGAACTATACATACATATATTATGTACCTATAAAAGAGATTTCAGATGTTTACATTTGGATTATCCCAATGACTTCATTAGAAAGAGAAAGCAGATGCTTTGAAGTTAATATCTACACAATTTGTACATATTCTGATTCACCTCAAGTGTAAATGACAAGAAATTGCATACGTTTTAGTAGTGCACAAAGATAGTACAATAGGCATTGATTTGGCTCAATGATTTGCTGAGTGAAAGGCATTTTTAAGTTTAAAAAATATCCCCATGAAAGTGGTCAAAGGTACTTGATGACCTCACCATGGAAGCAAAATGTCTTCTAAGCAGCTCCAGGGCTCTGCTGTTTCTTGCTTGCAGGGTCTTCTCAACTCTCAGCTCATACTTGATGGCATCCAGCTCCACGCGGATCTTTTCCATTTCCAACTCATAATATAACTTCATTTCTTCTTTGAGGAGTGCGTTTCCAACTTCAGTTTGACGCTTCAACTTCCTAAGCGCGTCTTTCAAGTTTCTGTTCTCCAGATTCAACTTGTACATGATTTCTTTAGCTTCCTGGAGCTCTTCGGTTAAGTTTTTTACATTTGTTGCTTTTTCAGAGAGGTCATTTTTTAAAGCTTGAAGTTCCCAGTCATTCTTTGAAGTATCTGTCCTTGTTTCTTGAAAATTGACAGATTTTGTTGAGGTTTCTCTTCTGGAGTTCAAAAGTTCTCTTTCAGCATTTTCAAATTCCTTTTCTATCTCTCTGCATTTCATATTAAGTTCTTCCAGTTCTTCATTTAAAAGGTGCAGGCGGAGTTTTGGAGATATTTCTTCGGTCCATTTCTTCCTCATGCCTTGCCATGGTGGGGTGGGTAATTCCTTTTTACTCCAGGTAGAGGGACCTTCTGTTCTGTGGAAGCTTTCTTTGGCTGTAACATCTATCTTAGAAGATTTACAGAAAGCAGAATTTGTGTCTGCTACATTCTTTGACATGTTTAGCCTTCCGTCTTTTAAATTTGGGCCTTGTCCTTTTTCATCTAACTGGGAAGAATATTCTTTCCTCTTAAATTTATTTCCTTCCTGAAACTTTCTACTGGAAAAATTGTCAATTCTTCCTATTCTCTTGGTCTTGTCTATAGATATTTGTTCAGAAGAAACCTGAAGCTGAGAAGTCTCTTCTAGAACATTGTGCTCACTGTAGCAAGGAGCCAGCTTGTTCTGCTTCCAGTGCTTTTTTCTAGCGTCCATTTCTTTGGATACTTCTTCTACTTTCTGAAAAACATAATTTAAAATCAAGCCATATTATTTCCACTGGCAGCTCATGTAGTTGAAGGAACTAAGCACATTGGTTTGCCCATGAAGGAACCTGACCATTTGAGAGCCAGCTCTTCTCAAACTCACTAATTTGGAACTCATCTTTCCTTGTTTACAAATGAAGAAGACTAAAGTGGCTAAGGTATATACCAGTAACTTTAAAATTCTCCTACCTCATGAATATAAACAGTAAATCAACACATTTAGCTATTTATTATAGACAGTTTTATGAGATAGCAACTGTACACATGGGAACAGTCTGCTTCAATATAATAAAAAGTTGTTTGGAATTAATAGGTTAATATTGTTAATAGCTTTTCTTTCAATATGTCTGATTTTAGTTCTAGTTCTCTTTGGATAGGACTACTGTTTATTCATTCTTTAAAATGACTAAAACTTCATGGCTTAGTGCAACGTGAGCTGCTTTTGGTAAAGTATACCATGGAGACTTCCTTATGACTAGCTCTGTCAAATGCCCTTCTGCCTTGACCTATAAATTCCTGCTATTCCAGTCTCAGGCTTTGCTTTTAGGCAAGACTGCCAAGTGTACAGAATTCTATCTGTTTTGACAGCAATTTCATAATGAGATTCTAATGTCAACAATTGAAAGTACTAATGTCGTTAAATGTGTTCTCATACAGACTCTGAGTACATTTTTAGGTGAAAACTTAGCTAAATACTAAATCACAACCAGCATCCAAGTTAAGAAAAATTAGGGGACAATTCCTGCCAGGAGTGGTAGCATATACCTATAATCCCAGCACTCAGGAGAGGTGGAGGCAGGAGGATCAGGAGTTCAAGACCAGTCTTGGCTGCAAATCAAGTTTGAGATCAGCCTAGCCTATATGAGACTTCAGTTAAAAAACAAACAAAAAGTTTAGTCAATCATCAGGGCTAAAGTATAGCTCAGTGACAGAGTACTATCCCCAGACCATAGTGATAAACTCAGACATGAAAGTAACATACATATTTGTCAGAATCATGTCCTTTCTCCAGAAATAATCTTTTCTGGTTTTTCAAATTCTACTGTCACAAACCAGAAGCATCTATGATATATCTGTCCTTAGAGGGGCTAGTGATCATAATCCTGGTTTCTATTCTCTCTCTCTAGAAATATGAATGCAAAGGAGTCAAAATAGCAACAGCAGTCATCAGAGAAAGGAATCGAAAAGGAAAAAAGAGGGCAATGTGAACTTGCTACCCACACTTTTAGCGATCAAATTTTTACCAGAACGTTTTCTTTTAAAACATGTCTGGAGCCAGGCGTGGTGGCGCACGCCTTTAATCCCAGCACTCAGGAGGC